ACTATTCCCAGCAGCCACACTCGCCTCTCATGCACACACTCATGTTCATGCCAACTGCTCTGTTTGCAACTTCTCAAAGCCCTTAAATTAATTTACCAGCAAAGTTTTCATCTCATCAGCTCTTTGGAACAGTTTGCCAACAACATGCATGAGTGCTAGCATCAGAAGGCAACAACAGTGAACGCTCACTAGCTCGCACGCCTTGAGAATTACACCCTCAAGTAGAAAGCACAAATCATATATACCACTACTTAAAGTCCTAGCAAGTTCTATAGATGACAGGTTATTTTGAAGGGCGATTAAGAGCTTTGAGAGTTTTTTGGCTGCAAACAATCCCTCAAATACCACTGCATAATTAAAGTTATGAATTTCTCTTTTCATATGTGAACACAACAATAAAACAAAAGTCAACTTTCCCCCAGTAATTCATTAAATTGCCAAAAAATCCTCTGTACTCTGCACTAGTTAGTGGAAGGAAATAAAATGGAAAAAGCAATCAGAATAAATTCTATCAGTCCAAAGTCTCCTGAATGCAATTAATAAATGACATTTCCACTCTCTTCATTCTCACATGGACTTCACACATTTTTATTATCAGTAACACAACTTCATGCCACTCAGTCTTTGGACTAAATCAACTCTTCACATTTTCAGGCTACTGCAATTTTTTGACCTACAAGCAAGGGTGTCAGTTGCTCACCACTTTACTTATCCCAGCCATAATGCCCAAAAGACACACCCCAAGGTCGCAGACTCCCTTTGACCTGAAGAAATGGTACAAACAATCCAACCCACAATAAATCTTATACCTCTCAAATTCTTATGTTATTCACTGTGTGTCATGTAAGATGTACGGTCCAACAGACTGAAATCAGACAGCCAAAGTCAGCTACTGTCCTAGTCCCCTGCAAAAGAAAGCAGGATCATTCGTTCCTAGGATCAAAATTGTTAACGAGGCTCTTTGAAGACTGCTTCACACAGCCTCCATCTAACATTAAAAACATCGAGTCAGTCATGTTCCTAATGTCATTTCTGAAAGACAAGTTTTCTTCAAAGTACATCAGTATTTGTAAGAGTAGGGTCAAGGAACAAGGAAGATCTCCTAATAAATTCAGAACTTGGAGGCATTCAGTTATTCCACCATTACTGGTTTTGTTCCCCTGTAACAAAGAATAAAGATTCCTCCCAGCTGAACAGTCATTCAAAACTAACTCTAGCTGCAATTCACCTAAAGCTGTCCTTATCAAACTGTTTAGTCCTTCAGGAATAGAATGTCAGTCCCTAATAGAGAGGTATGAACAATGTAAGTTATTCCTTTAATGACAATTAACCCTCTTTGGGATTAACTTGCATATAAAAAGCTTTAACAGACACATCCCAACAATCCCATTATGGAAGAGATTATTGCAAGGCTATACTCTGTTTTAAATTGCTTAATATCTGTCCTATCCCGCTCGGACTAACACTGGCAGTGCATGTATAAACTCAGATTCAGTAGTTCTGCCCCCAAAAATCAAAGATCAGCATTAAACTACACACAGAAAAAACTAATGGCTGCCATTTGGGCAAACAGCCCCGCAACTGATGCCACTGGAGCAGGAACAAGCCAGTTCTGTAGTCAGACAGCAACACAACATTGAAGATCTTGCCAATGGAGGCTGACCTACATTACTAACCAAAGTTTAAGTTACCAGTTGCACTGTATATTTCAAACAGACATCAACCGGCCTCACCCGCTCTTCATGAACAAATCCACTGGGGAAATAATAGTGGTTTCTGAGAACAAACTGTTCTTAGTAAATTCATACCTAGTGAACACTTTAAAGTGTTTTTATTCGCCACTCTTCACATCTTCAAAAGAACTGAAGTTTAACAGTTCCCATGAATGCAAGAAATACCCCTCTTTTATTACCAAGGGGGATCATGGAAGTAAAAAAATATAAGCTTAAAGGAATGCAGAAAACAACCCAGTTTTGGGAGCTCTCCAAAACTAAACAAATTATAGATAGAAAGGGTACATAAACAACTAGCAAAAAAAGACCACCTTTCTTCATTCACCTTACTGTCCTCATGATAGTTCCCTTGAGTTGTCCTTCTCTCTCACAGATGATTATCAGACGAGTATCCTGACTGTTATAGGTGCAGCCTCTTCACCTGTGCTCTTACATCCAACAGGCTCTCACAATACATACCACAATACTGAAAGAAATCAGCACAGCTCTGTGCACACTTCAGTAACAGTGAGTGGGAGTAAAGTTTTTCAATCACAGCCTGGAGAGGGCAGGAGGTACAACAAGAGTTCAGAAACCTGTATCAGCCTGTTGTAGTGAAACACGCTCGATTAGCCTGCAACCTTTGTCCCAGTCAGTGGTAAGCTGGAGGCAAAAATTCAGCCAAGAACTGGCCCTAAAATAAATACTATTTAATCAAAGAGAAGCACTTAGTATGGAAGGCTGAGCTTCCTTTGGCAGGTCAAAAGTATCCCTTGCTAACTAGGCACACCTTGATACTAAGTGACCTTGTATTTAAACACACTGTGAATAGATGCACTAACAAAGAAAACTTACAAAGTTAACGTGAATGCAGTAGTTTACAATTTTCTCAGTTCCGGTGCTCTGACACTAAGAACTTTGTGATGCAGGTACAAAGCAAAAACACAGCTCACAGGCACTTTCATTCAGAGGCAGCATGAGGGAAATCAGCACGTCTCCGCACACCCGCTGGTCATCAGGCACGGAAAGCCTGGACTTCTCTAGGGAAATGTCCTGCAAGACCAGAAGATGGAAAACAGTAAGAATCTCTCTCCTCCTTGGTTGCTTTATTACAAAGTATTGCAGTTTATTATAGTCATCTCCTGAGCCAGGTACACATGGAAGAGCTGAACCCCATTCTCAGGTGCTAAAGAAGTATCAGTGTAAGAAACAAGACTACCTCCTCCCTTTCCTGAGCCATAAAAGGTGCATTACCTTCTATGTGCCACACCCTGAGCAAAACCTAACCTTTACAATCAAAACACACAATCTTCAGACGTTCTATTCTGAAAGCTACTAGTACCCTCTACAGAAGAGCAGTATTTTAAGACTAGCCTCAATGCTCTTCTTTAGCCACCATTTGTAAGCCTAGACCTCCTTAGAATTGGTCATCTCAACCTCTATTCTGAGACATGCCAGACTGCTAAGGACAGAGGAAAAAAAAAAAAAAGAATCGGCTTCCCTCCGTTTCCTGGACTCCAAAGTTACAGGATTTGCCAGTGATTGGTATAGTTTCAGAAAAGCTGAGTTCCACATCCCTTCTAACAAGCATGTAACATAGCTGTGCAAGGCGAAAAAAGATAAACCAGCACTTCACTAGTAACTTCAAACAACAGATAGTCTGTGCCCCTCCACATATGGCCTGGATCTAAGAAAACACCAGCGAAACCCAAACCACAAACCAAAACAAAACAAAAAAACCCAGCACACAGATGATGAAAATAAACTCTTTGTTTTCAACAGTTGGTTGTTTATATTTTTCTGAAATCAAGGGGTACCACTTTACAATAACATACATGAACTTGCTAGAGCATGGTTCCCACATACTATTGAGCCCAGTTCTGTCACTACATGGCTTTAGCCAAGCTCAGTCCACCTACACAGTTTACTTTCCACAGCAAAGAATGTTTCCAAAGATCGAACAAGACTTAACCTGCTGACAAAGGCAATAACTGTAAAGTTCCCCCTGCAGTAGTACTAATGCGAAGATGAGACCTAGCTTCTTCTGTGCTTAGAAGACAGCAGTCCTAACCAAACTGTGAAAGGTAAGTGCTCCAGAACCATGGCCTCAGGTTGGTCACACATGCAACACAACCTACCGAGATGCAAGAAGAAAACTTGAATAAATATTTTAAGCTATTGTTTATTTCATCTTCCCTTTATATATTTCAGTATGTTTTATGAAGTATGCAACAGTACAGTAGTGCCCGTATTGATAAACCAGTACCTGTAGTACCCATATTGATAATAAATCAATGAATATACATATATTGGGGGTGTACGCTAACAAGTGGGTCTTTATTGATAAGCATGTACAGCCCCACAAAAAATGGAGGCCGCATCTCTACAAACCAGAAGCTCCCTTTGCTGTGAACAGGATTTTCCTTTTTTATTGAGTAAAAAGGAGGTTTGACACTTGTCCTGCCTTCCCTCTTTTTCCTAGATGCCACTAAGTTAACACCAAATTACACCTTCCTTTCTCCCTCACAAGATGATTTGGGGATTGCTACCTTAGAACATCTCCCAGCAGCCAGCTCCACAGCTACTCCTAGCTCTCTCCAAGGGCCCAACACCAGGGCAGCACTCAGCCGTTTGCTCCAGGGAGGGCCAGACCTGGTACCGCAGATTTGAATGAATGGCGCCTCACAAGGCACGTGGCTCCAGTGTTTGCACTTCCAGGCTCGGGGCTTTCTCTGCCACCTTCATAGTAAGAAACTTTAAGTTCCTCAGAAACAGGCAGCTGAATGTAAACACCTATTACTGGAAAGAAGTACTAGAACACAGTACTATGACAAATGATCTGTTTGAGATGGAAACAGTGAATGGACATAATGAAACAAAAACCAAACAGAATTAAGGAGCCACCAAATATTAACACCTCTCATCGCTCCGTGGGAAACGAGGGACGAGATAAGGGTTAGAAGGAAGCACAGAGGAAGCCAAGCGCCCAGACCCTCGCCCAGCTCTTCCCCCTCACCCAACGCGAGCTCCGGCAGACACCCCAGCCCTCCTCACCGGCGGGCCACAGCAAACGGGCATCGGCCGGCAAGCTCGGCAAGCGGGAGCCCGGCACGAAAGCCGCCAGGCCTGGCCGCTGAGGAAGGCCGACCCCGGGCCGCCGGCAGCGGCGCGAGGGGGGCCGCTCCTCGCCTCCCTGCTCCCACCGCGGCGGGAGCGGTGCCCGGCGGCCCCGGGAGGGGAGAGGAGAGGAGCAGAGAAGGGCCCGCGGGCGCGGCGCTCCCGACTGACCTGCGGGCGGCGGCTCCCCAGGGCCGAGGGGTCGCCCGCCGGACCTCGCTCCCCTCAGCCCGCGCAGCCGCTGCCGCCTCCCTCTCGCGAACAGCCGCGTTACCGCTCTCGCAATCCCTCTCAGATCCCTCCGCCACCGCCTCAGCGCGGCCCTCCCAACTTCCCAGACAAACCCCGCAGGAGAACGCCCCAGCCTGGCCGATGGCACCCACCACTGCCCACCCGCTCCACCACCCTTACCCAGGAGCGAGGCGTGGGGCGGGAGTTCAAACAACACACCGGGACTACTTTTTAACCGTGAAGCGGAAGCACACTATATGCATGCTTGCGTGCGCAGTCGACGCGGGCCGGCTTTAAAGGGGCAGGCCTGAGCGCGAGGCACGCCGGGAGTTGTAGTCTCCGCTGGCCGGCCCCGCCTACCGCGCTCCACCCGCGGCGGCGCCACGCCCCCTCGCTGCTCCCCAGCCAATGGGCGTGAGAGAGGGAGCGAGAGAGAGGAGGGGGTGTTCCCCCCCTCCCCCCCCGTGGTGTGCGCGCGGGGGGCGGGGCCGGGCCGGGCCGCGGCCGGCGGCGCCCGGAGTTGGTTGTTGCGCGCGGTCGCAGCCCCCGTCCCGGCGGTTGGTGCCTGCCTGAGGGAACCGGACCCAGCGGAGCCTCCGCAGCGCTGCCGCCGCCGCCTCCCCTCGCCGCCTGCCCGCGGGAGGCGCCGCGGGGCCGCGGAGCCCCTGCCAGGTGAGCGGCGGGTCCGAGCGCGGGGCGCGGAGGGGGGTGATGGCCCCTTGCGCTGTGAGGGGAGGCCGGCGGCGGCTCGGGTTTCCTCCGCGGGGCCCAGGCCGGGGGCAGCGGGAAGGGGCCGCCGCGGGCCGGGAAGGGGGGGGGGGGGGGTTCTTGCCCGCAGCGCTTGAGGGGGTCCCGGAGGCGCTCTCCCCCACAACGGGCGGCGCTGGTCGCTGGCTGCGCCCGGAGCGTCTGGCTGGCGCCGGCAACAGCCCCGCGGCCCCCCGTGGGGTCGTGCGGCGCCTTCGCCCCCCTCGGTGGCGGAGCGCCCGCGGGTGTCCGCAGACGGCCCCCGGGCTCGGGGGAAGTTGTGCGCCGGCACCCCGCGCCCCGCTGCTGGGGAGCGCTGCGCCGCTGCCGGGCGGACACCTTCTAGGAACTGCCCGGTAAAGCCGCTGTCGGTGCCAGGTGCATGCTGTCCCTGTCGGGGCTCCGTCCTTACCCTGTTATTACTGCGAATTCCTGACATGAAAGGCTTTACGCCTTAGTCTGTACGTGTGTAGTTACATTCCATCCTCTCTAGGCTCTGGGTGCTTCCTTTTCTCTTGAAGGTTATTTTGGAGTTGTAGGTGGGTCGGTCTGTGTGCTTGTTTTCATTGCGGGGGAAGTTGAGACTAAACTGGAAAGGCTGGGATTTGGATTGGGACAGCAAGTGAAACGGTGTAAATGCATTGCAATGCTTTAGTTACTTACCGGGCGGCTGATACATAACACACACTGGCCAGGCTGCTCTTAGGTGAGCACAAGGAGGAGCGTTGCCTGGTGGATGTCTGACCTCGAATTTAATAGGGTTCTCTTCTTGGAGACCGATATTTCTGTTTACTTTAGGTCTTTGATTTTTATTTCATAGAGCCCGGCTTTCGTTCTTCTTTAAGCGCTTCATAACGAGCTCCAAAGTTTTTCCCCTTACTCGTTGTGGCTTAAAGGTGGTCCGGTGTCTGTTAAAGCACTTTATTCTCAGCTATTTGGGGAAAAAATAGTACGCCTGTTATATGGGTAGGAAGAAAAGTACACTCAGCTATTTCAGGAGCCAAGGCTTTATGGAATTCCAATAATTAGGTTCTATAGTTACAAAATTTACTTCGACTTGTATGAAATTGCCAGCTGAACAACTACCTTTGTTATAAATTAGATGTATTTAATTCTGTATGACTTTGGTTGGACTTGCAACCCCTCATCCAGACAGTTTGATACCGGTGGTATAGCAGAGCAGGAAATACTTAGGGATGTTTTGTTTGGTCGTTTTGACTAGTTGCAGCTCTTAATCTAGTTTCACACTGGCTTAAAAGGTTTTGTCTGTAAAGTGGCTAAAATGACTTATCCAGATGAAGCATCTCCCTAGGAGAGCTGCTGCTCCAGTGTGTTTTCAGGAAAACCTCATTTTGTCCTCTAAAATGTAGAACTATGCAAGAAGCGAATTACCAATTTTCCATGAGTAACTTTCCATGATTAATCTTACGTATTCATTTCATGATGGTTTTACCTTATTGTTAGGGTATCTCAAACTTAATTCACAGACTTCCTAAATTACTTTGTTGGAATGCTCGGTTTGGCTTGAATGGTTCTTCCTCACCTGAACAGCTGTGGAAGGAGGTGCAGAGTGTGATTCCCGAGCCTGGGCTGCAGAGCAAGGAGCCAGCAGCCTTTCCTGCCTGGCCTTCCTGCAAGCAGCCACTTCCCCCAGCTGCATGCGTGTGGAAATGAGCAAGTGATAAGAAAGTGAGCTTCATTCCCGATGCAACATTTGCATCTCCTATTTCAGAACGTTCATTAACGATGTAAATAAATACGCAGTTACTTCAAACCAGCAGTGTTCCCTGTGTATTGGCAAGTCTTGTAGTTGTTTCAGTGACAGAGAGAGCAAAGCGGCAAAATACCATTTCAACTTCCCAGGGATTTGTGCTTCTGACTTTTCAGCTCTTTAGGAAATCTGCTTGCAAACACATTTGCCAAGCCATGCACGCTTTCCTCTTCTAGTTTCCACAGAGCAGAAGTGGTTGGAATCATTCATTAAAAAAAAATAGGGGGGGGGGCGAATGCTGTTTGACTAAATGGCTCCTAAATGTTTTCTTGCCGAAACAGGATAGTAAAATATTAAGATCCCTATTTGTAAGTTATTGATTAGGGTCACGGACGTTGGTAATCGCTGTTACCCTTCTGTGTTGTGCTAGGAAAAATGCGTATGTGAAGAGCTTACTGTAAGTTAACAAGTTGCAACATGTTTTCTCTGCCTTGTTCCTGAAATTACACTCCCATGTCTCTACTTTCCTTTTCCTTTTTCCTGTTTAGTCTTTGCTCTTAGGTTTCCCTTTTTCCTAGAGCTGTCCCTCATCCCAGTTTAGAATTAGACACTTCCATCCCCATTGGCTGCCCATGTTTTCATTCCCCTTTTCTCCTTGTCCGCTGCCTCTCTTGTTCCAGTTGCTTACTGATGAGGTGGGATTTCAGGTGATGTTAACTCAGTGGTCCCTTCTGGGTTTTTTTATGTATGGGTGGCCAGCCATGAAGAGAGAGCCCCAAAGGTCTAAACTGGGCTAGGTGCAGGTGCAGATCAGAGATGAGGTCTGTCTCCTGCCAGCTTCCACACTGTTCCCACTTCCTGTGTTGCTGCAGCTCCCGAGGAAGCCTGACGAGCTGCTCCCTCCCGTGTAGTCAGTGTGTCATAGCTGACATTCGGGTATGGGCACTCTATCGTGTTGGGCTGGGTCTAACGAGGAGATGGTGTTGCACTGGGAAAAGCAATGTGAATATGGTGGGGTGCATGCAATGTGAAAAGAGATTGTAAAGAAAACACCTGACATGGGGAAACTGGAAAGAAAACTTCCTTATCTTTCTCCTGTTAATGTGTGGTAACTCCAGAAGTTTTTAACCTCCTTACAGTACAAAAATCATAAGCTGAAAAAGGTGTTGTGGTTTATTAGTTGAAACTTGAAAGTTCAAAGAAATAATGTCAGGTTCTTTGGAAGCCATAGGTAGTTTCTACCTGCTATTAGTGCAGCCAAAAATCACCACTTGATATATATATAAAGTAACATGGATTTTGGAGGAGGAGATGTGTGGCTCCAGTCCTCAGCCAAGGGAAAGAGGCTTCAGATTCTCTGTGCTAGTACCAGTAAGGGTTGCAGGAGCATGGTGCCACTTTCTGTGACTGCATGACCTGTGATAGGCTGGTAGAGACCTTGTGCATAGAGGGGGTTTTGGTATTACCAGTTCTCCCACCCCTCTGTGCTCCCACACATGGCCACTGTTTAAGGACTAAGCATCGCACTGGGATTTACATTGGCCTAAGGCTGAAATACTTTCATTGTTTCATGTGTATCAGTACAATAATGTAGAATTTCCATTACCATCCTGTTTTAAATTTCAAGTGGAAAAATACAGCCTGCAAACTGGAATAAGACTTGCTGGTTGACTTATCACTGATTTAAAGCAAGGGGAAGCAGAACAGGTAAGCAGTATACACTGAGAAGAATACAAGAGCTGGAGTATTTCTGCTACATTAGAGACAAGGATAAATGACTTCTTTTCCTTGGTAACAATTCTAATTAGTTGTCCAATATTTGAGCTGTAATTTCAAGAAATAGTGGTTTAATATTGTAGGCTCTGCATTTTCTTTGGCATTTCCCAATGAGAAATTTTCAATCTTTCTTTTTCCTAAGATATGTAAGTGGCTGAGTCACTAAAGAAATTTCTTTCCCCACATGTCTTTAAGTGGACTGAGTTGGTTTGAGATTGCCTGATTGCTGAAAATACAGACAGAGAAACGCTGCACAGTGTGTGTAGCTCTGAGGTCAATTTCTTTAAATTGGTTTTCTTATGGGACCCCATCAGCTCCTTACAACAGTTACCATGTTAACTCACCGAGTTACAAAACAGCTTTACCATAAATGTTCTTGGGTTTGTCTGTTCAGATGACGCTAAGAACATCAGAATTTCAGAACCCCTCTAGGGCCTAGTTCACCATTTCTCTCCTCCCTGTAAGCACATATTGCTGTGCAGGATGAGTTCAAAATCAGTTTGAAACCTCACCACTTGAAAAAGTATTTCGTAATCAGTGTGTAACTGAGGTGTTTTTTTAAGCTTTTGATTTTGGGGAAAGTTGTCACCCTGCTAGTTTCCCCTTTGTGTGACTTTTCGGGTCCTGTAGCAGGTTCCCTACCCACAGCTGCTGTGTATGGGCCTGGCCTTAACCAGGATGCTTTTGCATTAATTACAGTAGCAGTAGCAAAGATTACAGTGACCATTATTGACATCTGTACTTTGATCACCAAATAGTTACCTTTGTGTTTAAAGGTGGGTAAATATGGCGTGTAAAAAATATTTGACAGCATTGCTTTGTCAAAATACCTTCAGAATTCATGGTTCTTTTTGCT